ATTTTATCAATAAAGTAATACAACCAAAAAAATCATCATAATATTCAAAAAAAAAATTGATCCACCATGTTATACTAAAATATTCTATTCTAGTTAAAATATCCGGATATTTATAACCAAAGATAATACTACATATTGGTTTCTGCTTTACATATATGCCGTACAAGATACCCCAATACAATATACCCGTCACCAAACGGTATTATGTGTTTTTTTTTTTAGCGGGTATTTTGTATTAAACCAGGTCTTTTTGTCAGCGCACTACGGTACATTAAATATATTATTGATAATATTTTGAATTTAATATTTATAAGATACCGTAATTGGCTTGTAAAACATTTTAACTATTATTTTCTCAAAAACTTTTAAAAATAAGATCTCAAAATTTAAACATACCAATCTGTAAAACATTTTGTTCGTTTTTAAAAATTTTGAATTTATAAGAATCTAAAATAATACTAGGTAACAAATTATATACATGCATAAAACTGATGAAGATATTTCTTATTTATAATTTGAAAAGAGAATCCCAATGAAATTGTATGAAATAAGCATTTCGAAAGTATAACTATTATACAAATAATAATAATGAATAATAATAGAATTCTTACAAATTTAACTTGCTTTTACAATATATAAATTTTTAAAAACGATCACCAATTCGGCTTTTAATTTTCGGACAAAAATCGTCTTACCTTGTTATTTAAAAGAAAAAAACCCAATCAATAACTTTTATAAAAATAGCAGATAAATTTTTTTTTTTCAAAAATTCATCAAGACTAATCCGGCCAAGTTATGAGAGCTTTAAATCAGCCAACAATGGGTATATTTCATCCACTACTGCAGTTTGCTCTTGGTCTAGTTCTAGATCTTCATTTGTCGACATTTTTTCAATATCTCTCAAAAGTTGTGTAACTTTGAAACATCTACTTTCATAAATAGCTTGACTATGTATTTTATTATCATAACGTCTACCCTCTCTACTTTTGTGTCTAAATCCTCCTGTATACATTGAATCATTTCTTTCATCGTGATAAATTACATCCGTTGAACGACATCGCAAAGCTATTAGAATCGTTTCAACTTCAGCTGCATTAGGTCTTGAAGTAGGATCACTATCCCAACATCTCCACATTAATTCCGCATAATGATTTGGAGTTCCATCTACTAATTCTGGTCGTAAACCATCTCTAATTTGTGATACTAATTTTGTATTATGCGGTTTATTGCAAAATGGTAGCATACCTGACGATGCTTCCCATAATATAGTATCAAAGCTATAAATATCACTTTCTTTGGTATATGGTTTTCCTCTGAATAATTCAGGAGCCATGTACGGAATTATTCCATTTATTGTAATTTCAGGACTATTAATTTGACGAGCTGGTCGACACATTCCTAAATCACCTATAACTATCGGTTCATTAGTTGATGATGGAGAAAGAAGTAAATTTCCACTATGGAGATCTCTATGAATCCACCCTTCGTCATGAATGATTTTAAGACCATGAGCGACGCTTTGAAGAAGAGAAATTTGGTCTTCCCAACTAAGCGTTCTAAATTCATTTTGTATATATGTACGGAAATCACCTTTAGTAGCATAATCAGTTACCATTATGTATTCATTTGTTACAGGGTCTTGAGTTATTCCATAACAACGGAGAACAAAACAATTCGATTCACAGTTAAGATGCGCAATCAACTGAAAAGAAAATTTGTTATTTGTTAATGAGTAATAATTTGATTATTAAATATATATATATATATATTATTGAAAAGAAAATTTATACATACCTCTTGGAAAAAACTAGGACCAATATTTTGCGAATCTTTTAACCTTTTTAAAGCGACTTCAACATTGCCATTCCTATCATATCCCTGATTATATCTATTCCACTTGATCATGGGACCACTTTTCCAAATTGCATAAAAGACAGTACTAAAACCACCTTTACCAATCTCTTTAATGTTCTTAAAATCACTATATGGTATCCATTCCATACATCCTTCGCGTGAGGGAGCGAGAGTTTGAGTATACTGAATATATTGATCAACATATTTATTTCCGCTCGTCCAACTTCCAAACTTATCACGTAGTCTAGAAGTTTCACATGTTTGACACCACCAATATATATTATCCAAATTCGATTCACATTTGAAGCAACTGAACTGATCGGGTGAAATATAAACTGAATCAGGGATTGGAGTAATTAAGGGACCAGTATCGGGAATTACGTGTCGCCTAATAGGAGCCGATAGACTTGATTGTTTATGAGAAGGTGAATTTCCTAGAACCAACTCTTTAGGAAACTTAAAATTATAAGAACAACTAGAATATTTGGCATCAATATGAAGTTTACTAAATCTAATTATAGAAGAAAAATCATTTTGTAGCTGAAACTCATCAGCTTTCTGAATTTCTTTGTATATAGTATTATGCTCATTTGTGTTGTAATTACCATAATTAGAACCAGAAACAACTAGTTTGTTTCTCCAATAATTGAAAATACCAGCAACTTCTCTCATATCAGGACGATTTTCTGGAAATGCATCCCAGCACATCCTAATCAATTCAGCATAAAAAGATGGAACATGATCTGGAATAAGAGGACGTTTTCCCTCCACGATTTTCTTAGCCAATTTTTTATTATGGGGACAATCAGTATAAGGTAAAGAACAAGTGGCAACTTCCCACATAATGAAGGCAAAAGAATAAACGTCAGATTTTGAGGAGAAATCCGAGCCAGTCATAACTTTTGGATCAATATATGGAAGGACACCATGGACAACGTATTCATCAGACGAATTAACACAAGGTAATTGAGGCATTAAATCAACATCAGAAATAATTGGATCTTCGATATCCTTGCCAATCAAGATATTATTTGGATGCAAGTTCTTATGGATTATTCCTAGGTTATGCAGATTTGCCAACTCAATTGCAATAGTGTGTAACATGCTAAGCCTGCGCGACCAAATGAAAGATTTAAAATTATCCGGATGTTTCAAATATTCTCTAAGATTGCGATTTGGTAAGAATGGCATCACGACCATATATCTAAGGTTTTCAGGATGAAAAGTGACACCAAGGTATGGAAGAACATGACCTGATTTGTATATACATGATTTACACTTGGAAAGCTATAACGATTAAAAAAATAAATTGTATTATATACAAATATAAAATTAACATCATACATTCAAAAGAATAGTAATATAGTACATACATCAGAGAAATAAGTTTCATCATAATTATTAGGTAAGCCAATATTTTTTAATGCTACCACATTCATTTTCATTCCCGAATGAGATCTAGAACCAGGGTTCAAGAAAGTTGGATTCGCAAAAATAAGGCCTTCACTAGTCATAACTGGATTAAATCCACATTTAAAATCAATCCAAATGGGAGTACAACTTGAACAATGAGATCTCTCGTTGCTATTAATCAAGAATTTACTAATCGATGAGTTTTTGATTTTCAAAGTATCATTAAAATTTACGTAAGGATGCCAATTCGGGCGGCACTTGCTACACCAACTATTAGAGTCGTGAGACTCACATATACCAGATACTTGAACATTATCAATAGAATTTGAATCTGAAAGAAAATCCGAAGATCTTTTTTGTTCTGAGGAAGCCGATCTTCTAGAACTCCCAAGATTGTCGCCATCATATATTGTTTGGTTATCATCACTATCAGAATACAAAAAATCCGAGTCATTTAACAATTCGATCGGATTTTCATCATCAGAATCTGATTCTTCATTGGGTAGTTCATCAGCCGATTCATCATAATTTTCATGGCTAGATGAAATACTTATTATATCATCTTCGCAGTTACTAATAATTTCGAAATCGGAAATTGGAGATGATGATGATTGGTCGTCGTCTTCTAAAGTATCAATTCCGGAGATGTTTGAATTATTCATTTTTATTGCTATGATAAAATAAAATAAAAATAAGGTTATAGACGATCAACCACATATAAATATTCATTAAGTTTACATGTATTTTATCGTCGTAAAAAAGGTTTTTTTTTAATTTTTTTGTAAATTTGTACTCTTTCCGAACGATAATAGTAAATAATCATACCAATGGTCAAATCGCTTTTACGATATTTTACTTGGTCAAAATGGGTTACTATTTACATAGAGACTGGAAAAAATGTTTTATACAAATTTTTTTAACATTAGAAAAAAAAAAAAAAAAAAAAAAAGTTAAATAAATTGCTTTTTTTTATTTTACTTTAAAACACCGTGAGAAGAAAATGAATATCCACACTACTATTTATATTGTATAAAGACAACAATTGTTAATAATAATAATAATAATACATAATAAGCTCATCTGATATGGTGATAAGCCATAGCGGAATACGGAACGAAAAGTCCGTCACTCCATAGAATAAAAAAGCAAATTCATTGACAATCTCAAGTCACAAATTCTTACTACAGATTTGTGATTTCTAATTGTGGGTATGTATTTATCTTTGAGCACTCAACTACTAAAGAGGGTTGATACCGATATAGTACGGACCAACTTTAAATGAATAAAGATTAATCGGCCACAATAAGGTTTAGTTATCCTACTTTGACCTACATGACCATGTAATGTGGATCTTTTTCTTTCACTACAAATAAGAAAAGTTTTGATTCAAAAATAAGCTTAAGATTATATGTTTGTATGACGCGCATTATTTGTTATGATCAATGCAGTCTCAAATATATACGTGTATATATATTATATATACTATATATATATATAAACTGTATATAATAAAAGTCGAATACGTATCGATATCGATACAATATATATGTACGTATATATCATATATATTATGTACGTACGTACGTACGTATTCACATACACAGCAATCGTTCAATATAGCATCCTAATATGGATATTTCTGTGATCCTTATCGTTATAGTAAGTTCCATCCAGCATTAAGATCGTGTGGTGGTTAAAACTACTAAAATTAGGTACAATGACTATGTTACATAAGCGTGCGCACGCGTGCATATGTACGTAGTGGCGTCATGTCTCTTTAAATAGGGAATATTTCCAGAAGTGGATAAGTACATACGTACGAACATGATATCGACATCACTGCGTACACTCCAGTGTTGACACTGGAAGACCACTAGAAGGCCATTGGAAATAACATTAATAGTATAATTGGAACTTTTACTATTACAAAATCCCACTGGAAGGCTAGAAATTCCCACTGGAAGCCAAAATTGCAAACACTGCTCTAGTCATTTATGTGCAAGTCCGCAGATTTGCGGTTAGACCGGTTAGATCACGGGTTATACAAACCAAGCAAGCTATACTAATCCATTTTCGATACTTCCGAAAATAAACACCATCTGCGGGAAGTCTTCAGCTGAGTTATTCCCGCTCATCTGAGATTTATAAAATGAGTTTATTTGTATATGTTTAAAAACTTAGTGGGGTCTATCATTAATGCGAAGCACTGCCACCTGTCAGATATAGTCTGTTTATTTTTCATATATTAAAACTGATTAAAACTGGTTCCAAACTCCGGTACGCCTATTTCGGTCGTACTATTGTCATTCCACTTGTACGCGACTTCGGGCGCCTGGTATTAAATCATCTTGTACATATTAGTAATTTTATGCAGGTATGGCAACTTTATTACCGTTACTTTGAAATCAAGATCGAGTTATTCATCTAGGCGGTATTCTGGTCCTCTTCTAGTGAAGCCTGGACCACAGATAAATTAGCCTGTTATTTTAGTTTTTAGAGAGTAGTATAACAAAACTGTAAATACTGCGTATTAAATTAGTAAACATTGCTAATACTAACAATAAAAAAAACTGAGATAAGAGTCTCGCTTAAAAAAAAAAAACCGAGTTATTCATAGATAAGATTAGGTGAAGCTTTATTGAATAGTTCGTTCTTACCTATCTTTAATTAATATTATTTGTTACGTCAAGCACGGTGGTCACGTGCTGTACAAAAACTTACCTATAGCGTTTTACTAATGGCAAATCTTTACGAACAAGGTAAACTTGTTTATAAGTAAATTAATTTCTTGGTTTTCCGTTAGGTAAAATTCTGTACAACCATATACGGAAATTACCGGTGTCTATTATTATATTTGTACTTATATCTGTACGGCATCTTCCGCCGTATCACGTTATCAAATGCACGTATCACGTTATCAAATGTATAAATCCCATCCCATAATTCCCAATTTTTTGAAATTTTATATAAAATACCTCGCAAAAACATTTGTTGTTCCCTATCCTCTCAAGCCTTTTGGCTAAGATCAAGTGTAGTATCTGTTCTTTTCAGCTTAATATCTGAAATGATCCACACTGTGGATCTTCGATATTAAACTAATTTTTGTCGTTGGGGGGCGGAATCTCTGGCTTGCTATATTCCCTCCCACGGGTGTCCCTAGTCTTGCACTGCCTCTAGGTGACGCCCACTTTTAGAATTAATAGCGGGTTGGGTGTGGGTGTGAAGAAATACAAAACCGCATAAAATAAATATATGCAAATAAAATATACAAACATATGTGTATTTTGGAGAGCATGAGGAACAATATGTACGTTCGGTATTACGATCGCAAGTTCGACAAAAATCCGTATAAATAACATCGTTCTTTTCTACGTAGTATATACTGTATAATTTTATTTTTTATTATTTAATAAAATTATTTGCTGTATTTATTTTTTATTTTAAAAGCCGGTTTTGCATATCAGTTGACATGTTATACACTGTTTAAATTTAATTTAATAAGTAAATCGCGAGTCACCTGGACAAAAATTTTTTTTTTATATATAAATTTTATTATAGGCCCGAAAGTATTTTTCTTATTAAATAAATTACTCTTGGGCTTCTAACAAAAGCTGAAAAGCTCATCAAGATGCATCTAATAGTGGTAAGAATATTAAAAGTGACCTGGTGGTTCTTGTTAGAAGCCTAAGAGTGATTTACTTAATAAAAAAAAAAAGGGAAATTATAGGCATCTCTCGCGGGAGATATATCTCCCAAAATCCTTTAAAGTCTATTTACGTTAGAATAGCGTTAGATTAAGGTTAGAGGTAAGCAGAGTATGTAGTCAATTTGCTCAAGAAAAACTTTTTATTAGAGCACAAAAGAAGGTTTTTTATGCGTTTTCTTGAAAAATAAACAATTTTTTCTTTGAACGAACGTTTGTTTTGAATTTTCTCGATCGTGTTACGTTACACTAAATTGTGGCTCGCTATTGGCAGGAGATATATATCTCCCTATGGAGATATATATCTCTCGCGAGAGATGCCTAGAAGCACCCAAAAAAAAAAAAGGTTTTAGATAGGAGCGCTTCACTTTTGGGCCTATAGTAAAATTTATATATAAAAAAAAAATTTTTGTCCAGCTGACTCGCGATTTTACCTATTAAATTAATTTAAATTTAAAAAGCTTTGAAGATTAAAAACAAAATTTTTTTGGTAAATTTACGTACGAACCATAACATTTAAAAAATTTTTATGAATATTTTTATTCTGCAAGATCGATATTTTTTTGAAAGAAAAAAATAAATACGAGTATTAAGCGAGTTTATGCTTTTTTTTTTTTATTTGAACTGATTTTGACTTTATACAAATATGAATCTGAACAATATGTACAGTATAATCAGCACTTCATTTCTTGAGATATTCAATTCAAATAAACGTTATATAAATAAATTGTGAATTTTGCTTAGTATTATTAATTATATTAAATATATAGCTTTGTTATTTAAAGAACAAAGGAAACCAAAAAGATCATTTTGTATTTATATTTAAAATTAATATTATTAGGTTTATATTATAGATACGTGTATACCTTATATTAATATTTGCTTTTCGAAATATGTAATATTTAATGTTGGGGTGTGAATCAAAATCGAATCCGAGTATTTAAAATATATATATATCCACGAGTTAGTGATTAACATTTTCACTTGACGTCTATTATGCTAATTTTGATTATCGAACCTTGATATTAAGTTTTAATGATGAAAATTTAGTATATATATAAAAATTGGTTTTTAAACAATGATCATGCTAGAGGGTTAATCTAGAGGGTTAATTAAATTCGCGCCGCGAGGCGGATTTACTTACAATTATGTTAACCTTATTGTATGGTATATAGTCTATTATTGTTTATTATATAATTTTTATAATTCAAACAATAAAGAACAATAATTATTCTTTATTAAAATACGAACAGCACTAAAAACTACTGACACATATTTAATTTTATTAAAATACGAATAGCACTAAAAACTACTGACACATATACGAATAGCACTAAAAACTACTGACACATATACGAATAGCACTAAAAACTACTGACGCATATACAAATAGCACTAAAAACTACTGACACATATATTTAATTTTATTAAATTTCACTATGATGCAATCGACCCCCTTCTCGATTTTATAACTTCCGATCTTCTTGCAATTGCAGTCTTTTATTTACTGGAAAAAAAAATCCATAAAATAAATATGTATTTTTAATCTTTGTATACCCGACTTTATCTGCTTGCTAAATAGCCGAGATAATAAAATCGGCCGCCGATTATATATACAATAGATATATTACAGATTTTATACAGTAATTAATCTACAGATGCTATTACATGCAAGTAGAAAAGGAAATTTTTGGCTTGTTACAAAGCAATCGACCCAATTATTGATCGTGCTGACAACATCAATAAAAAAATTCAAGTGCATTCCTAGCGTACAACCTATCAATTAAAATTATATATTAAAATTATAGATTATAATCAAAAAAAGATTAATAAGATACATGAAACTTACTCATTATTACTGTACTCCACATCCTTTATTAGGTCCATCATTATTTGAAGGATCAACTGACTGACCATACATATTGTTGATGGGAGGTGAACCAGGATCTGATAAATCCATATCCGAATTGGAACGATTAATTTGTAAATTCACTTTTGCTTGTAAAAATCCTGGACCATTCAATTGATTATTGGAAGATGCGACATGAATGGCCCGTTCTTTATTCATACTAATGTCTCCAATTTCTTCACAAAATTCTCGCCTAATATATTCTAAATCTGGAAGTCGCAATGAATTCGCAATACCAGTTCCAAATGGTGCAACTGCCTGCCCAAGCTGTTTACCATTTCTAAAATCATTATGAAGTTTACGTCTACGGTTAATGATCTCTCGACGAATGAATAAAATGGATGATAAAATGGATTGTTTATGTAAATCCACGATTATATCACCATTTCTTGATAAACTTCGTTCAAAAACGCAAACACGATTAACAAGTGTATTAAAAGCTCGTTCAAAGTATCCTCGAATTTTTGGCATGATTGTTGTATCTTTAGCTATATCATTGGCTATATAAGAAAAATGTTAAAAATTACTAAACGTTATTATACAATAATCTGGGCGAGATATTGTATAACAATTATAGATTACATTTTTGTATAGGATCTTGAATACATAATTTTTCTGGACACTTTGTAGCCCAAGGTTCATTCTCCTATACGTTGAAAAAAAAATCACAAATACAATTAGTAAAAAATTTTTGAAAATTAAAACAATTCATCTTTAACAACTTACTTTTTTACAATATCCTATGCCCATACCAAGATCATCATCTCTTTCAACACGGATAGCAAGTTGCTCATAATTGAAATCAACACCATAAAGTTCGAAAAATTCGATAAGTAATACCCCAAGATTTTCGTCGTCGGGGACGATTTTTCCAGATTGAATTTTAGGGTGCAACTATTTGATATTTAACGTAAAGATGTTAATAAATTTTATAAATAAAAATACAATAAATATACTTATTCACATATTTGCCTGGAAGAAATTCAGCATCAAACAAAAAAGTGTATAACCATTCATTCCACCTGGCTCAGGACAATCAAGCTTATGATGTGTTAAGAAGCACTTTGCGGCGATAACCAATGTGCCTAATGATGGCCATCGTTCCATATATCGTCGTATGGCGACCGCAGAATAACATCCACTAATCTGGTTAATACAAATATCTACATTGAACTTCGTGTAGTATTCCTGGAACTTTAAGATCGGAACCTAAAAAGAAATCAAATTAATGTTTATAAACACTAAATATATTCACTTGAAAAAAAAAAAAAAATCTTACTTCAGCCAAGGTAATCATTGTAGATTTATCAGCACTAATATTTAGGGTTTCAAAGAGCTTTGCAATTGCATAAATAGCACTTTTAGGTTCTGCGTGAATAAAACAAGCTATATCTATATCACTTGTTGGAAGATATAAGCCAGTATTGACACTTCCGAACACTATAACTTCCGCCTTTTGAAAATGTTCTTTGATGACGAGCTCTATTCTTTTGATGACGAATGCTCGTAATAAACGCTCTATATCAGTTGGTAAAAGATAATTTACCAACTCGATAATCTCGTAATGCAGCCTGTAAAATTAAAGGATGCCAAAATGATCAAATATACTTTAGGATCAAATGCTTAATAAAAAATATTACCGTTGAATTACACTTGTATATTTAACGTTGGGATCTTGAATAAGCCAAGGTTTTTCTGATTTCTTTGGTGTTCTCCAAGTGTCTTGTGCAAGTGCCTCTCGTTTAAGAGCCTCTCGCTTTAATTTTTTACTTTGCTTTTTCTTCTTGGCATTATTAACAGTATTATTACCCTTTTTCTGTTTTTCCTTTTTGTTATCTTTCTTACTGCGATCTTTCTTGCTACTTTGTTCATTCACATTCACTTGTCCTTTCTTTTTTTTTTTTCTTCCCTTCGAAACATTCTTTGATGTCCCCACATTCAAGTTACTTTGTTGAGTCTCATTGATCGATTTTACATTATTACTACCAGAATTTCGTTGGACAGCGTCATTTGTTACATATGAATGCGGATTGGACGGAATTCCATAAAAGCCGTCGTAATGCATTGTATTCAACATATTAGACGAAGTACCATAGGAACCACTAATATTTTGTCGTAAGCCGGTGAAATTGGCTGTAGAAAAGGGATCATTTGTAGTTACTAAAGGTTCATGTCGAGGAATGAGCGAATGGTTGTTAAAAGTACCGTGATTCAACCGCAGCAAGACTTCGGCATTTTCTACCTGTAGCTGGGTTGGAGTAAAGAAAGGCATATAAGGTGGTGTACTAGAAGAGTTGGCTGTTGGTGAAGTATGATGTGTAGGTGGATTGTAGTATGAAGGGAAATTATCATTACTTTTCTCCATTTTCTTTTTTTTTTTTTCAATATCTGATATTTTGTTCTTGATCAACGATAGATATTCATCAAAAATCCACATCATGTGATATCTAAAATTTATCGGAAAGTCTAATTTCGTAAACGTGTCACTCATTCGAGATTCTACTTGAACAGTCACATTTTGATTGGACAAAATACAAACTTTAAGCAAGATATGTATCTCGATAAATTTTATTTCGATTGTTGATCTCATTAAATTTTACATACGTACGTACGTACCAGTATCTTTAAAATGTGTTATCATTATACCGATTTTATCCCAAATTTCTATTGGCTGCAATTGGCTGCACCGATTTATATATCGATTGCTGATTTACTAATTTTCATGATATCGTTATACCGATTTTACCCCAAATTTCTATTGGCAGGGATTATTCGCACCAATTTATACATCACCTTTTTATTATGTGATATCGATATCTTAGTTGAGATTAGAGTGAAGGATTATATGGTCTAGGTGCTGAGAAAAGGGACGAAATTGCCAATTTTTTTAAAAGATGTTTTTTGCATAAATCAATTTAGAATAAGGTCAAGATCAAGATCATTTTTCATTTAAGACACAAAAGTAGTTGTATTAATAAAATTTTGCACTATAACTCTTTAAAGTTTGCATTTTCTTATGATTTATTATAAGATTTATAACAATTGATCTTTTTTTTTGTCAATTTCGTCCCTTTTCTCAGCACCTAGCCCATATGTACGTACCAAAATTTTGCAAAATATTTTTATGTCAGTACGCAAAGGGCGAGTGCAAAGGTGCGATTAATGTGACTTTTCAATCTTCACGTTATATCCGATCTTGTTGCCTGCTTGTCTATTAATATATCTCTGATATATTAATCTCTATATGAATCTTAGTTTTTACAAAAAATAACAGTTTAATGAGTTATTGTAAAAGTATAAAGTTCAACAATAAATTAAAAATTATATAAACATTAGCTACAAGCTTAAAATTAGTTTATTGCTTCCTATATAAACTTAGTTTTTACAAAGAACCAAAAATATTTTACAAATAGTAAAGAAGTTGAAATTGATTGCCTTCCATATGAACCTTTGTTTCTGTAAAGGCGTAAAGTCTAACACTAATAGTTGAAGCCAATCGCATAGTAGATTAGTGGTGTCCAAAAAATTTTACCATTTCATGTAACCCGAGCTTCTGAACCTCGATTGGATGATTCAGATTCAGACTTCGGATTGGACCTACAAAGTGCTAATACAAGCATAATGCAAGCTAGCTAATATTATGCAAAATTACGATCTGAGCAACTTTACTTAGCTTATCGGTTAGCGGGTTTATTAATAAAATTCGCTAAAATTTGGTAATTTTCGGACATAATTAGTTGGGTCCAGAGGCCAAGTTACACAAAATAGGAAAATTTTTTGGAATCACTAACCTACTATATACCAATCGTAATAATGATATCATTTATTTCCAAAAATAAAAATATTTACTGTTATGGATTCGGTTTGATCAGTTTTGAATCTGGATTTAAATCGAATCCGAAGGAAATTGGATTTAACTCCGAAGGTCAAATCCGGTCCCAAACTCTACGTATGTATTATCTAGTGTTGGGCTGACCAGACCAGTTTGACCAATTGACCAGACCAATTTGACCATTTGATCAGTCTGGTCAAAGAATTT